TGGGTATCTGGTTCCCAGTTTAAGGTGGGCTGGGACCCTGTCGTCATCACTGTGCTGCTCACAGCGCTGCACTCCAGTCTTGGCAGATGCCTTCAGGTCACCACCAGGGCTCGGGAAGCCTGAGAGTGACCAGCAGTGGCTTGGGTTCCAAGGCCTCGCGTTCCTGAGCCCCACTTCTCTGCCTCCCCCAGACAGTACGCAGCGTCCGCCGCCGGCACTGCTACCCGCCCACATGGCGCCGCTGGCTTTTCTACCTGTGCCCAGGCAGCCTTATCGCGGTTAGTGCCATCCTTCTCTATGCTTTTGTGGAGACTCGAGACAACTACTTCTACATTCACAGCATTTGGCATATGCTCATCGCTGGCAGTGTGGGCTTCTTGCTGCCCCCTCGTGCCAAGACTGACCACCAGGTCCCATCTGGAGCCCGGGCCCGGGGCTGTGGTTACCAGCTGTGCATCAATGAGCAGGAGGAGCTGGGCCTTGTGGGCCCGGGAGGGGCCACTGTCAGCAGCATCTGTGCCAGCTGAGAGGGGCTTTGGGCTGCCCTTGGGGAACGTGAACTCTTACCCGGGGCAGAGAGCCCTTCCTTGGGTTCTTCCTGAGAGCATGGAGTCCTCCCAGGGATAAGAGACAAGTTGTATTTCTTGAGGACATGGAGTCTTTCTTAAGGACACGGAACTCTTTCAGGGGCCTGGCACACTTCCCGAGGGCCTGGAGTCCTTCTGCATCTTCAGGACTGGAGCCCGTGCAGGGCCACAGAGCCCCCTCAGGACCAAGGAGTCCCTCGCAGGGGTGTGGAGCCCTTCCCAGGGTATGGAACCCTCCTGAGGACATGGATTCCTTCCCTGGGAGACCAGGCCCTCTCAGGACATGGTGTCGTTCCTAAGGAAACGGAGTCCATCCTGAGGAAGCTGAGTCTCCAGATCTTCCCAGCAGCTCAGCAACTCTGGACTCGGGCTTCCTTCCCAGAGGCAGCATCTGGGCTGTGCTGTGCTGGGAGGGGGATGCAGGACAGATGGGGCTGGGACTGGGGCTGCGGTGGCTGGTATCCTGAGTTGATGCAGGTGGAGTCTGGTGTGTCTCCAATGAAGTATTTGCTGGTTCTGTGCTGCCTTTTTTTTCCTGAGGGAAAGGGTGTGGGGAGGGGAGGGAAAGAGGGACCCTGAGACAATCAACAGGGGTGACGGAGCCTAGCTGGCATGAGCTGCTGGAGCTACTGCCTGAGGCTTTTGCCCCATTGTGTCAGGCTGCAGCAGCCGGGAGTAGGGAGTTGTGTGAGTGTGTGTGTGTGTACTTGCTGAGATGATTTCAATCAGTGATACCTCCCTTGTGGTGCCCACACCCAATAGGGAAGGAGGCTAAGGGCTCAGGAAATTGGACTAGCGGGTACAAATCTCAGATGTGCAAGAAATATCACAAGAATATAACTTCTGTTTTGAGTCTCCATTTTGCCCGAGTGCCAGAAACATAATCTTTTGGCATTTTGGGATTTCTTCTCTTTCCACAAAGGTCACAGCTGAGTCCCGAGGGTCTTATATAATGCCGAGATATTGCGAGGGTGTTTTCCCTTGTCACCAGGGTCCATGTGGCGCCCCTGAGATTTCCATCATCCCACCTGGTCCCCAGTTAGTGGTACAAGCAGGCCTTCCCAGAGTGGTTTCTTGTCCCCATCTGTGTAACCCTTTCAGTCCTGAGGCTCTCCACCACTTCTGTGCCACATGCAAAGACTTGTGGGACCTTGGCTACCCAGAAACCCCTTGAAGCCATTTCTACCCTGGGGTCCTGCTCTGCATTTTACTTGACCAACAATGCATGAGTTCCAGCTTTCACACCCTGCAAACCTGTCCAGGGGCTTGGTCTGGGGAGTGGCGCTCAGGGCCCCTGCCTTTTGGGGCCCTCCTATGCCAATGCTCTCACTACATCCCCTCCTCCTTGCTTTTTCCTCTCCCTAGCTTAGGGAATCTTTTGTTAATCTGGAGGTGGGGACACCTACTTTTTCTTACATTTTTCTCCCAAATCTTTTGTTTATGCCTTAAGTCTTTTATGTTCCCTTTAGAGCCTAGGCTTTTGAAACTCAGATGCCAGGAACACCTCTCTTTGTTCTCTGCTTTCTGCAATCACATCCCTTCCTTCGGGCACTGAGCAGAGTGTGATGTGAGAAGGTCACATCTCACATCACATTCACCAACTGAATGGTGAGAAGGAAGGAGAGGTGTGGGCTAGGTGTCTGTTCCTGTATCAGAAATATTATTCCACGCAGATCACTAGGACACATGAGCCCAAATAGCTGGGATTCAGGACACAGTAGAGTACAGGAGGCACTGAAGAGGGAGACAGAGCTGGGACAGACCCCACCCAGCTAGGAGGGGTCAGAAGGGGTTTCTGGAAGCCGGATGGAGTGGAGGGCATTGAGTGAGGATTGAATGAGTTTCCATAGTGCCAAGATGCTGGGGGAGTGTTCACTCCCGTCACCAGTGTCCATATCACATTCCTCCCCTGAGATTTCCATCATCCCATCTGGTCCCCAAGCAGGAAAGCACTTAGAACACTTAGTATAGTGCCTAGCCTGCTATGTGGTAAGTCTCCAATGTATGTTAGCTAAAGGTCAGGTGTTTGGACATGGGAGGCACCAGCAAGGGGGAGACACAGGAGCAGGAAAGACTGATCTTTACTGGGGAACTGGGACTAGTTCAGGGCCTCTGGACCTGCAGGGTGTGTGTGTGTGGAGTTAGGGCGGAGGCAAGCAGCCGGTGATGAGGCTGGGCAGGTACATGGGGTCTGGCTTTTATCCTAGGGAAATGAGCAGTGGCCTCATTGGAGGGATTTAAGCAGGAGAGTAGCAGATCAGATTTTTGTTTTGTTTGCGTTATTTTGTCTTTTCAGATAGGTGTTTTGACGGCTGGTGCAGAGGATGGATTTTGGAGAGGATTTGGAGGCTGAAAGTGCAGCAAAACAGCTGTTGCACTATTTGAGAGAGAGATGGTGAAGGCAGTGTCAGTGGAGAGGAGGGGACTGATCCGAGAGCTGTTATGAGGTGGATTCTCTAGGACATGGTGACTGCTTGGATGTGTGGGGTGGTGAGGGATGAAAGAAAGCCTATGGTGACAGCCACGATTCTGGCTTGGTGACTTGGGGCGGGTGTTGGTGCCATTCCCTGAGATGATGACACACCTTTGTGGGGCAGAATGATGAGTTCAGTTGTGGATAGTTTGAGTTTGAGGTGCCTGTGGGATTCCTGGAGGGAGAGGGCCAGCAAGAAGACGGTGACAGGCAGAGCAGCTGAACCAGGTCTGGAACCTTGGCCTCCTGGGTCCCAAAGCAGGGGTCCTTTGTTGTCTCCTGACTTGTTCAAGTGACTTCCTGGAATACATGGCCGTGGCCCCCAGATACTGCTGTTCCCTGCTCATGTCTGTCCACACATTTGGACTAAGACCCCGGACTGTCCACAACTGCCTAGGGCACACCCAGCAGCACAGGATCCAATCCCCAGATGTGACATTGTGAGGGCTTCTGAGGGACAGTTCAGTTCAGTAACCCTCTATCGGGAAAGCTCTGTGGGAGCTGCAGAGACAAGCCAGACCTGGTTGAATCCCGCCATCAAGGAGCCCACGTGGTGGTGAAATACCATGGATGCAAAGCAGAATGGGATAGATACCGAGTGAAAGATACCAACAAAGTGCTGTGGGACGTAAAGGAAAGAGAGACTATTCAAAGTGCACCAGGAAAGGCTGTGTGAGAGAGCTGGCGTCTAAGGTGGCTTGGAAAAATAGTCCCAGGTCTCGCCAGAGATCAGCATGAGCGAGACACCAAGGTGTAGGCAGTACAGACACTGTAGCGAGGGGGTCACCGTGTGAAGGGGGTTAGTGGAACATCGGGCTGGAGAAGTGGCGGGCTGGGTTCTGGAGGGCTTGAACTCAACTGAAGAGTTAGGGCTTCATTCTGTGGTTAAGGGGAGCCATCGTAGGTTCTTGAGTGAGGCATCAGCCAGGGTCTGGCCAAAGTAGGACAGGCGTGAGTGATATAAGGGGCCTGTTGTAGAGAACAGAGCTGTTGATTGTGGGAGCAGTTGGAGAAGCCTGTGCAAAGCTGGGCCTCTGCACCTGGTGTCGGGCCTGAAGCTGCTCTTGGGGGGCGTGAAGGGGGAGGTGAGGACAGACCGGAGCCCGTGTCTGGGCCTCGCTGCCTTCAGGCTCAGTGACACTGGTGACCTGCAGGAGGAGCTGGCACTCTCTGGCGTGGCGCTGCACTTGGCACAGACCTCCGAGCAGCTGCAGGCGGCGTGGCAGGAGCTGGAGCAGCTGCGCTGACAGCAAGGTGAGTCCCAGGCCGGTGACAGCAAGTGAGGGCTCCCACCACGACGGTGCTGCTTCGCCTTCACCTCCCATCTCATGTGGATTTCTCTCGTGGTCCACCCGATCCCAGAACCTTACAGGGAAGGAAACTCTGGGAGGCCCAGTTCCACCCTAGTTAGCTCGACCCAGTCCAAAGCCACCACAAGAGAGCTAACCAGCACTCTCCTGGGATGATGAACCTGGCAGCAGCCGGTGAAGGACAGTTGGTCCGAGAAAAGGAAGCTCTAGAAATCTCCAGTAGCCCCTGGGTTGACTGTAGGGTGGGTGGTTGTCACTAGGCTCTTCACAAATTCTTCAGTCCTCCCCCTCCTTCCAGATGCGTGGTAGGTGGGTGTTCCCTCCCCCTCAGTGTCAGCCCTGGTGTGCGCCTTGCCTTGGCCAGTGAGGTGGAAGTGGAAGTAACAGGTCACTTCTGAGCGGAAGCTTTAAGAATCAGCGCAGGCTTTGTCATTTTCTCTTTGCCTTTTGCCACTTGGACCAGCAATGTGCCAGATGGTGGCTGCTTTATCATCCTGAGTCCCACAGGGATGAAGGCGATGGTGCAGAGCACATCCCCCAGCCAACCTCTGATGGACCTGCAGCGTAAGTGAGAAAAAGCCTTTGTGGTTTTAAGCCACTGAAATTTTGAAATCATGACCACAGTGTACCCTAGCCTGTCCTGCCTGATAGAGAGCAACAGGAAAAACGGGACATTTCCCTGGAGAGCAGGTCTCCCCTCAGCAGAGCTATGGCGGCAGCTTTCACCTCTGTGTTCCTCAGACTGTAGATGATGGGGTTCAGCGAGGGTGTCACGACCCCATAGAACAATGCGATAATCTTAGCCAAGTTGGGGTCCTTGGCCTTGGGCTTGAAGTACATGAAGGAGGTGGTCCCATAGAAAACCACCACCACTGTGAGGTGGGCAGAGCAGGCGGAGAAGGCTTTCTTCCAGCCAGCAGCAGAGGGCACCCTCAGGATGGCAGCAAGGATGAAAACGTAGGACAGGCAGATGAGCCGCAACGGGGCCAGCGTCACGACAGTAGTGGCCACCATTGTTAGCAGCGCGTTTAGAGAGGTGTCCCCACAGGCTAGTTTCAGCACTGCCAAGATCTCACAGAAGTGGTTGATGACACTGTGGCCACAGAAGGGGAGGCTCCAGGTGAGAGTGGATTGCAGCAGGGAGCTGGCAAAGCCTGTCCCCCAGCTCAGTGCCGCCATCCACACGCACGTCTGCCTGCTCATGAGCTCTGAGTACTGAAGCGGCTGGCAGATGGCCACGTGACGGTCACACGCCATCACGGCCAGGATCGGGCACTCCGTGGAGCCCAGTGCCAGGGTCAGGAACATCTGCAGGGTGCAGCCAGGGAAGGAGATGGTGCTTTGGGTTTCCAGGAAATTGACCAGCATGAGAGACACAAAGGAGGATGTGCCACAGATATCCATGAGGGAGAGGTTGCTGAGGAAGAAGTACACGGGGCTGTGCAGGCGGGGGTCCAGCATGTTCAGCCCGATGAGGAGGGCGTTCCCCAGCACTATCACGGAGTAGATGCCCAGGCAGAGTACAAACAGCACCATCTCTAGGTTGTGGTGCTCGTGTAGCCCCAGCAGGACATACTCTGTCACGGCCATCTGGTTGGCCCCATCCATCTCATTCTCCCTCCTTTCCCATCTGGACCACACGGGTGTTGGAAAAAGCACCAGCTGGCCTGGGAGCCAAGCAACCTGGATGTATGACCTGGGGCGGGTCAGCCCTGCCTCTGGAATTTAGTCTCACCATCTGTATAATAAGAGAGTGGACTTCAGGTCTGCAAGCCGGCCCTCTCAGCTCTGCAGTTCTGGTGTAACTTAGGGGAGGCGGGACCCATTCTAATCCCCTAGACTCATCTGTCTTCTCCCCTGGGTGGGCTCAGGGGAGACGATAGAGTAGGGTTCATGTTTCAGGTGCTCCTTTGGAATCTAAAGCGTTCTTGCCTGTTAAGAGGAAGCATCATTTCTAGGTTATGACTTCTTACGGCTGAATTATGCCCATAGTGTTTCGGATTCATTCATTCACTGAATATTTGTTGAATGCCTACTCTGTGCTAGGTATTGTTTAGGTGCTGGGGCTATAGTTGTACGAAAAATAAGTGGATAAAAAGATGCCACACCGGTCACAAGTGCTGCCCCTCTTTCTTAAGTGAGATGAGCTCGGGGAGGGAGGTGGGTGATGAGTGATGCTCACCTAGTGTTCCTTTGGGCATAAAGGTTGAACATTTCCACGCCATAGGACGTGTAAGCCTTATTCTGGCCATTCCTCCTTAAGGAATCACAGACCATCCATTGATTTTTTTTTTTTTTTTTCGGTATGCGGGCCTCTCACTGTTGTGGCCTCTCCCGTTGCGGGGCACAGGCTCCGGACGCGCAGGCTCAGCGGCCATAGCTCGTGGGCCTAGCCACTCCGCGGCATGTGGGATCTTCCCGGACCGGGGCACGAACCCGTGTCCCCTGCATCGGCAGGCAGACCCTCAACCACTGCACCACCAGGGAAGCCCCCACTGATTTTTAAAAGAACATACATATCCCAATAGAGCCACCGGTCACAGCATTTAACCCTGGTCCTGAAAACCAAGTGACTCTCTTCTTGGCCTCCATATTGCTTTTTAGGATGAATAATAATATCAGCAGTAATCTCACACAAAGAGGGAAACCAGGTCTCATGTGGTAGAGGCGTCATCAGTCATTGACCAGCTTTATACAGGGAGGGTGGGAAAGGTTGCGGTCTTCGCCCAGGTAGCTTCCATTGCTCTTCTGAGCTGGTCTCAGCCTCTTTGGGAAATGCCAGTGTCACGAGGGAGTGAAGTGTCAAATGTTAGATGGGAAAGCTGTCTTGTAGCCCCAGTGATCCCTGGTGTAAGGGAGAAATAGGAGCTGAGGGTGAACTTTAACCTTTCAGAAGATATATAACTACCCCCTCCCTCACTCCTTTCACACCTAGCTTTACTGTGAGGCCTATGTCCTGTGACAGCATTGGAACCCTGTCTGTCCTCCAGGGCTGGATCTTCCCCCTCATTCCTCCTGCCTAATTGCATCTGTCATTTGTAGGGGCCGATGGGCTCACCCTCTTCTGAATAAACCATGTTTTTTTCCCAGCACTACATCTTTGCCCAAGAAGTTCCCTTTTGTAGGCAGTCCTCCCTCTCTTCCCCAGTGGGGGCATTCCTGCTCCTTCAGGGTCCAGCTCATCTCTCCTCCTCTCCCTCCTGCACCCTGCAGAGTCACCTGCGCACTTCTTGTGCTCCCACAGCCCCTGGCCATCCTCTGTGCTCTTGTGTTGTGCACCTGTCTCCTCTACCACCCTTGAGAGCAGGAGTGTCTCCTTCCTCTCGGCACCTCGTACAGCGAGTGCTGCCAAGGACAGTCACTCAACAGATATTCAGCGCAGGATTCTGAAAACCCAGCGTTGCATCCCAGCTCCGGCTCTAACTAGCTGTGTGATGTTGACCAAGTCGCTTGGCCTTTGAGACTCAGTTGCCTTCTGAAAAATGGGGATTTTGTGTAGCCAGATGAGACACACAGAAAAGTGCCGGTGAGCCACCCAGCAGCAAGGCTCCAGATCAAAGACTGCGTCCTCAGCCACAGGCATCTGCTGGATCTGTGCTCATCACCTCCCTGCACAAGAGCTCCAGCATCTGTCATGACCCCCTCTCTCCCCAGAGCCTGTGCTGGTTTTCCCTCCTCCAGCCTAAATCAAGGCGATTGTGAGGGGCGTTTCTGGAACATACAGGGGTAGTTGATAAATCTGGGTCAGCCAATGACCGTAAATCTTATCCATGTAAACATTTAAAGGTAGCGATTTTCTTGCTGAAGTTTGACAGAAAGGTAAAGAATCGCCTGATTGTGATGGTTCATTCGTTCCCTCATTCATCAAATTGTTATTGAGCACCTACTATGTGCTGGGTGCTGGGAATACAGCAGAGGCAGATGCGGCTTCTGGCCTAACAGTTTACACTCATTTCCTTGCTCTCTGGTGACCTTGGTCACATCCCTTCCTCTCTCAGCTTTAGAAACCTCTGAGATTCTCTTTGAGTCTGGGATGTAAAGTAAGACCTGAGGTCTGGAAAGAAGAAGTTAAAAGGAAGCATCTTTCCTGGGTTGTGACTTCAAGTGGCTGGATTAAGCCCAAAGCTTAATTTCAGATTCAACTATAAGGCCTTGGTCTTTTTTGGGTGTGTTGCCCAAAAAAGACCTTTTAACCTCAAATTTTGACACTGGACATAGGTGTGGAGGGTGTTTTCAGGCAGGTAAAAGGTGGGAAATAGCCTGACTCTGCATTTCTCTTCCCCACCCTTGTCTCCAACAAAAAAATCAAGTGGGAATGGCACAGGCAATTGAGGGCTTTTGTCATCAGGCTCTGGTCTGCCCTCCTGCCTCAACTCCTGTACCTTCATGCACCCCTGCTCAGCCTCAGACCACTCCCCATTGATGGACAAATCCCGCACACTCCTGTCTCGTCCCTCTTCTCATACTTGCCTCAGCTGGAGCGGCCTTTCTTTCCACTCATCCTCCAAGGCTCAGCTCACACACACCTCCTCTGTGGGGCCCGTCTTCCCAGTCCACAGAACTGACCATCCCGGAAACATGACGCTCACACAGCCACTAGCAGTTAGTGTGTCATTCTCTCTCACACAATAGACTGTGAGCTGTGGAAATCAAAGGGCTGTGTCCAGTTCATCCCTAACACCCTGCAGTGCCTGCACGCAGGAGGTGCCATTTGAGATCCAGTGCTTTTCTTCTGCCAAAATCCTGATCCCAGATTTCTTACCTTGAGATCACCCTCTCTCGCCTTCCTCCAGAGCACACACCAGCAGAACAACGATGCAGCCATGTGATTGCTGGGAGGAGAGCTTTAGTGGGGCCAGTCTCCTCCCTGCAGGGATAGCTGCTCTCTCTGGAGAGCTAAATCAGGAGAGTGATAGGGGATCCTTACAATTTAAGAGTCTGATCATAACACATTCATGGAAGTTAGGGACAGCCCACTAGGCCATAGGCTTATGACCCCAAAGAAATAAGGCTGTGTCTAGAAAATACCATGCTGCCAGGTTACCAACAGCTTTGACTACAGCGTGGGCCCAGGCTGGGACATGAGGGAGCAGCTGCAGTTCCCTTGCTCCATCAGTTAAGATGAGCTGGGTTTTGCTGCAATAACATACAACCTCATAATTTTAGTGGCTTACCACGACAGAGGTTTAGTTCTCATGCTACATGTCCATTGCAGGTTTTCAGGGGGCTCTGTTCCAGGTCATCATCCTCAGAGACCCTGGCTCCACCACCTGGGACATCACCAGTTGTTACGGCTGGGGAAGAACACACCAGAGCATCTCACACCAGAAGTTAAGTGCTCTGACCCAGAAGTGGCTTGTATCCCAAATGCCCACAATGCACTGGCCTGTGTAGTCCTACCACATGCTCAGCTGGAAGAGGACCAGAAATGTTGCAGAGCACTTGGGTACGACGGTGTTTCGCAATACACTCAGAAAATCACTCTAGCATCTGTCTGCCAGGCCTCTCACCCTGTCGTGTCCTGGAAAATCAGATATCCAGAGTGATAGGAAATTGAGTGTCTCTGAGAATCATTGTCTAATCCGCTCCCCAGTTTTACCCCTCCTGAGAGGCAGGGAGATGCCATGGAAGGAGCCCTGGACTGGGGTGAGGGGCCCAGATTGGATTCTTGCCTTTGTTCCGATTCTGCTATATGACCTTGGTCCAGTTTCTCCTTGAGTGAAATGGAGCCATTCAGTTAGCTTGTCTCTGGTACTCTGTGCAACCTTCAAAACATTCCCTCCTCACATCTTTCTAGCAACTTCCAACCCTGAGGTCTGACAGACCCAGGGTCACTTTGCATGGTAAATATCATGTCAATTTCATTGGCTGGTAAATCTAGTTTGAACCATTTAATACTTATTTTAGGCTTTACATATTATTTTAAAAGGAAGGTGAGGGGCATAACAAGAAGAAGCTCCTGTTACAATTTCCCGGAAGTGCCTGGATCTGGGATTCCTGCTTCACATTCCTCGCTGTGTTAGCAAAGCAGGTGAGTGTGGGCTTTGCGGTGAGTCAGAGCAACCAGGGCCCATGTCCCAGACCTGCCACTTGCTAATTGTTTTCTCAGCCTCAGCTTCCTTACCTGTGGAGACAAGAATAGTATTTCCTCATGGGGTGATTTTGAGGATCCAGTGAAAGCTCTTAGCACAGAGCTTGGCACATGGTAAGTATTCAGTCAGTGGTAGCTGATATTATTACTATCATTATGTTCCCTTCCCCAAGCAGATATTCTGGTTTTTTGCATGTTTAAAAAAAAGTTCATGAGAAGAGTCAACATGCTAGATGGGTTCTCCTTACCTCCTACCTATTGGCCCAGTGGCATTAGTGCAGGCAGGTGGCTGAAGCAGCTGCCCGGTGAGGTGACCTGAGGCCTGGGAGAGCAGCAGAGCAAGGGAGTACTGAGTTCATTACCAGCAGACACACTGTGCTGGGGTGGGCCGGGGGGAGGCCCTGAGGCCCAGCCTCCTGGTCCCTTGCCATGTAGACACGTCATGTGCTCCTCGCCCTTGGGCACCTCTCAGTCCCTGCCCAATTTAAAGTTCAAACTCTGCAACTATACAAGTTTGCACATTTGGCAGCTATGGGGCTTCAGAGACCCCAGGTTCCCTGTGCTTCTCCAGGAGGCCCTGGCTGGGTGAGGAGGGCACAGGAGAGACACTGGACAGAGAATCTGAAGGTCTCATTGCAGCCCTGCCCCTTGGACCTGAGGCTGGGGCGCTATGACCCCTACCCTTGGCCTCGGCGTCCTGGGCTGTGAAATGGGGTGTCTCCTTCCAGGAGAGCTGTGGGGACCTGCACTCATGAAAGGTTAAGGAAAGCGAATTGCTGTACAGGGTGAGACTCCGAGCCCTTGTGAGGGACCATGAAGTCAGGGGTTGAGCCAGGTGCATGAGTTTCTGCAGGTTCCCTTTTCCATTTCCCTTTCCATGCCCTTCTCTTTCCTTCACAATAAAGAATGACAACTTGACACAGTTTAGGGACTAAAAAACAGCCTTAAATAATGCAGCAGCAGTTGCAGATTTTCCCATTATACTATGATTTGTCTCGGAATTTTTTTTTCAAGGACACAGGTCAAAATAAATATTGGAAGATTGTCCCCACTTATTTTCCAGCTGCTTAGGAACAGGGCTGTCTTGCCACCCCGTGGTTGCCTACAAATGCATCCAAACAAGCTCATCACCACCCTCCCATCCCACCCCCTCCAACCTGATTCTCTCATCTTCCCCATAACTCAGGGTTTCTTTCAGGGTGGAGCACTATCCACCCAAATAAGCCAGAAGCTCGGGCACCAGCGCACAGTCCCCCTCTCCCTCAGCCACCTCTGCGATCAGCTGAATGTCCCCAAGGTTTCTCAGCTCCGCCCTCTCTGCCTGACTGCCCACCTGAGTCAGGCCCCATGGGTGCCTGGGTTATGGCACCAGCTTCCACACTTGCTGCCCTCAGCCCAGGGCCCTTCTCGTCTGTGCTCTACTCTGGAGCCACATGATCTTCCATTTCTCAAAAATAATATTTTGAAGTTCAAAGTGATGTTCATTTTAGAAGTATTGGACAATATTGGAAAGAATAATTAAGGAAACAATATTTATCTGTAACCCCATCAGCCAAAGGAAACGACTATTAGTTCACATTTTGTCTTAATTTTCCAGAATTTTCTACATACATACTTATTCATATATCCATAAGAAAAATACCTTTAAAGAATTGGGGTAATACTGAGTACAAAGTTATATGTTCTGCCTTTTTCTATTAATTACAGTGTGAGAATTTCCCATCATCAAATATCCTTCAAAAAATAGGATTTCTAATGGCTGTGTCACAGTCTATCATTGGGCTCCACCAGGATTTATTTAAACATTCTGCTATGCTTGGACATTAAGATACTTACAGTTTTCTGTTACCATAAATAACGCTGTGATTAATATCCATATATATATATATACTTATACATAAATCTTTGCACCTCTAATAATTTTCTCAGACTAATTCCTTGAAGTAGAGGTGTTGTGTCAGAAGGTCTGAAGTTTCTTTTTTTTTTTTTGCGGTACGCAGGCCTCTCATTGTTGTGGGCTCTCCCGTTGCGGTGCACAGGCTTCGGACGCGCAGGCTCAGCGGCCATGGCTCACGGGCCTAGCCGCTCTGCGGCATGTGGGATTTTCCCGGACCAGGGCACGAACCCGTGTCCCCTGCATCGGCAGGCGGACTCTCAACCACTGCGCCACCAGGGAAGCCCAAGGTCTGAAGTTTTTAAGTCTCTTGATTCATACCCACCGCTTACTTGGCAGGAAGGTCATATTAACTTATTCCTACCCCCACCAGCAGTGTATGACATTACCTACTTCACTGCACCGTAGTTAACAATAGACATTAAAAACAACTCTTTGACAATTTCATGGGTGAAGAAAGGTATCTAATCAGTGACCTTTCTAAAAGTATCGATAAGTAATGATTGTAAACCCAAATGCCCACAGGATAAAGTCCTAACCCCTGTTGTGGCATCAAAGGCCTAGCAGAAGGTCTTAGTGGCAGCGGTCACCCTGGCTTGGTCAGGCTGTGAGCTGCGGGGCTGTGCTTCCCTCCTCTGTGCCTCTGTTCTGACCAACCGAGGAGTAGGAAGAGGGACTGGAGGGGAACTGAGGGCCCAAGAAAGGAATGTGCTTACCTGCAGCCAGGCGGCAGGAGAGCTGGCCTGCTGCTTGCGACCAAGCTCAGCTCTCCCATCACATGGACGGTGACACTGAGGCCAGAGCGGGCAGGGAATGGAGATGCTCTCTGAATCTGAGTCCATTTCCTCTGTGTGTTCACTGAGCTCTCAGAGAGGAAAGCTGGGAAAAGGCTGAGCACCAGGAAGAGGTAGCTATGGCAGGGTCCTAGTGGGTGGGCTGAAGACAGGTAGAGCAGAGTCTCCCCAAGGCCAGGTGAGGCCTGGATGCCGGGCAGGGAGGCCCCGGAAGCTACTGCTGCTAAAAGGGAGACAGGAGAATCCAGGCCCTAAGCTGCTTGGGGTGATTGGTACCCCGGTGGCTGGGCAGGTCTGGAAATTTTGGCTGCTAGGGCTCGTCACTGCCTCTACTGTTACCTCCCAAGGCACTAGGTCGTGCCTGTCATCTGTGAGCTCCATCTCAGCTCTGCTCAGATTTGGGAAGGACCCCAGGCTCTGCCATTGTCACCCCTACATCGATGTGTTTTCTATTTATTTAAGAAGTCTATTTATTTATTTATTTTTAAGGGCCTGGGGTTGGGCCAGGGTGGACCTTGGGACAGAGTGGAATCCGATACTACCTGCTCTTAACAGTAACACTGAAAATAAAGCAGGAAGAGCACAGTGAGAGATGCAGAGTGGGAGGGGCTTCCTGGCGGAGGTGGCATTCAAGATGGGCCTTGAGATGGGGGCAGGGATAAGTTAGGAGCGTGGAATTAATAGATACACATTACTATATATAAAACAGAAAAACAAGAACCTCCTGTATATCACATGGGACTATATTTAAAAAATAAAAGATGGGCCTTGAGGGTCAGGCAGTCCTTTTACGAGTGGAACTGCGTGCTGGGTGGAGGCTGCCTTGTGGAAAGAACCAGCAAGGGCACAGAGCTGGGCAGTGCTGGGCAACACTGAGGCTCACAGCCGGCTGGCGTGTGCAGCTGACAGGGAGGAGTCTGTGGGGCACAGGACGGGGAGGGGGTTTAGTCAGGGCCAGCTTGTGGGGTCCTCGAATGCCCCACTGAAGACCTCACAGTTCATCCTGAGAGCCCTGGGGAGCCATCCAGGGGTTTCAGTCAGGAGAGTGACAGGATCACATGTACTTTTCAAAAAGATCCCTCTGGATGCCCCTTCGAGGAGAGACTGGGAGGAACAAGACTGAAATCCTAAGGCCAGACAGGAGGCTGGTGTAAAGATGCAGGCAGTGATGCTGAGAGCGCCCCATGGGTCTGCCGGGGGGAGGAGCACAGGGGTGATTGTGAGCTCCTCTGTGGCAGGATCAGTGGGACTTGGTGCTGCGTTTCTGGGCTGGAGATTCCAGACCCGCAGCCCTCACTGTAGGCTAATGAAGGCCTGGCCTGCTAGCCTGCAGAGCCCCGGCCTCCCTCACCTGGAGGTCCATCTCCTGTCCCACACCTTCCTGGCGGCCTCCGTCACTTCCTCGTTCCTCAGGCTGTAGATGACGGGGTTCAGCATGGGCATGACCACAGCATAGAGGACCGTGGAGGCCGCATCAGAGATGCGGGCCTCCTTGCTCCTGGGTTTCATGTACATGAAGATGACGGTGCCATAGAAAAGCAGCACCACAGCCAGGTGCGCCGAGCAGGTGGAGAAGGCTTTGTGGCGTCCAGCGGTTGAGGGCACCCTCAGGATGGTGGCCAGGATAAGCATGTAGGACAGGCAGATGAACGCCAGGGGCACGGGCAGCAGCAGGATGGCATCCACCCACAGGAAGACCTCGTTGACTGACGTATCACCGCACGCCAGCTTCAGCACTGCCAGGATTTCGCAGGTGAAGTGACTGACCACACGGTGGCCACAGAAGGGCAGCCTCATGGTGATGACTGTCTCAGTCACTGACTTGAAGAAGCAGAGTACCCAGGCGGCTCCCGCCAGCAGCAAGTGGAGCCAGTGGCTCATCAGCACCTGAGTGGCCGGCAGTTGGCCAGGTAGCGATCATAGGCCATGATGGCGAGCAGCAGAGACTCTGTGGAGCCCGTGGACAGGCTCAGACACATCTGCATCGCGCAACCAAGAAAGGAGATGGTCTTCTGGGCCGACAGGAGGTGGACCAGCATCAGGGGCACAAAGGTGGGCTGTAGCAGATATCCAGGATGGAGAGGTTGCCCAGGAAGAAGTACATGGGCGTGTGCAGGTGGATGTCCAGCACGCTCACTGCCGCGATGGCTGTATTCCCCAGCAGGGTCACCAGGTACGTGGCTGAGCACAGAGGGAAGAGCAGGTGCTCCAAGGCTGGGTAGCCCGAAAATCCTTTCAGAAAGAACTCAGAGACCTCTGTCCTGTTGACCAGCTCCATACTGCAGGGCCCTGGAGGGCACAGCTGGGAGGCAGGGAAAGAGGGTGCAGGGTGGCGGGGAGCCCACAGAGTCTCTTTAGGGATGAGGTATATTGCTAGGGTCTTTTCCAGCTCTGACACACTCTCTCTGTGACTTTGGGCAGTCCCCATTCTTCTAGGCTGCGATTTATCCATGTGAAAAATGAGGATTGATGTGGATCAGAATTTCCCTAAGAGTTTTAATGGAAATGTTAGTAGGCAATCTGAAAAATCAATTTGAAACAACGTTGGGTTAATCAAAAGTAAATAATATACTGCAGGACTTCTCAGAGCCTTTAATGCCCCACTGTGATTTGGGGCTTTCTGAAAGCAGTGTAGAGTATGTAATTCCCAAACTTATTTGACCTTAGGTCCTCCTTTTACAGAGCACCCATTAACCTCCTGCAAATAAGTATTCTACCAGCATAGTCTGGGAAGCAATGGGCTGGATCAAAGGTCCTCAAGTCTTAGAATCGCTTGGAAAGTTTGTTAAAACACAGATTTCTGGGCTCTATCTCCAGAGTTTCTAACTCATTAAGTCTGAGTGATGCTGCTGCTGTTGGCCAAGGGACCACACTTTGAGAATCACTGGGCTAGGTGGTCTCTGAGGGTCCTCCTGGCTTTCAGGAAGCCTCTGAGCTACTTTACACCATTCCCACTGTTGGGGATGCCCTTCTTTCTCCCTCAACCTGCAGAAATCTGACTTGTCTCTGCAGGTCAGCTCTGGTCTCCATGCATGAAGCACACATTGTGCCTCGCATTGGAGAGGGTCCTGGCCTCTGAGGCTACCAGAGCGCTTGTCCACCTGTCCCCCCATAGGGCCTGCTTCATCAGCTACTGTGTGTGGATTGACCTTCAGAATCTGCCTCCATCGTGTGTTTTTGAGTGAAAAATGGATAGATCTTTTGGCCCTGCCCCAAACCTCCTATTTTCTCTGAACCTGAGCCAGGGCTGCTTTGACTTCATGAACTCCTAGGCATCAGCGTGGAATATGCCCTGAGAGGTCAACTCGTTGGAGCTCCCATTGTGCAGGTAGGGAAACTGAGGCCACACAGCAGATCCCTGGCAAGGCGAGTCTAGAATCCAATCCTCCCAACAACATGACAGCTGCACCATGCTCAGAGCAGATGTTTGCCTCTGTTAAACCCCAAATCTTGGTTGGTCTTTTACCACACTGGATGGACGTCTTTCTCCCAAGTCCCCACCCTGCCCCTAATCTTCTCACCAGCTAAGGAGCATGACTTAACCCTTCCTTGGTGTTTCGGGCACTTGGCACTATGTCACTAAACCCTGGGATGCACCGCCCAAGCCTGGGTCTGGGTTAAGCTCCAATTCCTGTCAACGCCTCCCTTGTAGCACACGATTTCCTTCTCTTAGTCCTCCCATTTTTCAGAATCAAGAAGTGATTGAGTTCCTACCATATGCCAGGCATTGTGCTAGGCATTAGGGGAACAAATGAGAACACGTGTGCCCCCAGGCCACTGGATCCCAAACATCCCCAGGCAGAACTCCTCTCCAGTTCCCACCCGAGCCTCATCCTGCTTCTGTTTGTGCACCTCTAGTGACAGGAAGCGCATTACTCCCTTAGACATAACTTTTCTTCTTTTCATTGTGCCTTCAGGCCAGTCAAAGGGTCACAAAATCCTTCCTGATACGGAGTCTCTCCGGGTATCCCTGGGCCTCCACCACCCAGTGAGGCCCAGGCTCGGGGGCCCCTGTGGACGCTCCTCTCACACATACAAGTGCAGGGTCCCGAGCTTTGGGCCGTACCTCAGGGGCTGAGGGGCCTTTTCTGCAGCAAGGAGAGCTCCGACCTTGCCCCAGGTCCACAGATAGGAGGCCTTGCCTCACTTTGACTGTGTCTAGAGACGTCGTGGGGTCGGGGAGCGTGAGCTGTGAGCTCCCTTCAAGTTTCGGCTGGGAAACTCTGAGGCTGGCTTCCTGGAGAGGCACCCTCCCTGGACAGAGGATCAGTAGCAGCAGGTGCTGTGCCAGGGCTGGGGCAGGCCAGAGCCTCCTCTTTGCACGGTTCCATGTACCACATAATTTATCCCCTAAAGTCACTGGCAAACATCTGCAGTGATTGTCTACCTGTCCGAGTATATATACACCCACGCAGGTTACCACAAACGCACCCACCTGTCTGTGTGTACAAACACCCGCCCGAAAGCCAGGCACACACATTCTCCTGTGAGTATATACGCCACACCAGGCTCGAGTGTATGTACCTGTGCAGCAGGCGCTCACTCTTGCTCTCTCTTTCTCACACACACATACCCTTAGTGCAGACCCTCGGACCTGTGGCCAGGGCTTCAGAGGACCAGGCAGGACGACCTCCCCTGGGAAGAGGTGTGTGGAGACCAGGCAGAGGCTGTAGAGGCATCACTAGAGAAGCAGCAGCCCGGAGCGGGGGAGCAAACTCTGCCGGGGGATGAACCAGGAGGACAAAGAAAGCTCAGAGCAGGGACATGGTCACCAGACCTGCTCAGTGCCTTGTCTGCCTTCCCCTGAGTGCTGAAAATCTGAGAATCTGAGCCTCCTGCTGTGCCTTCTCTCCTGGGGCTGGAGCTTGCAGGGTGGGAGGTGGGGCACTGGGGATGGGGGGAGTGGGGGGTGGGGGGAAGTTGCAGGAAGCGGGGAGGAGGAGGGATGTGGCTGCAGGCTGTGGGACAGACTCTAGTTCCCAAAGCAGGGCCAGGAAGCTTCGTCTGCAGAGCCCACGGTGTCCTTCCTGCCTTCAGATCTCTTCTGGCCAAATGCTATCTGAAAACCAGTTCAAACGCTACCTCTCCCGGGGAGCCTTCCTTTATCCTCTCCCAGGCCACCTGAGCCCTCTGTCCTTTGTGCATCACGGCCCTGTGTTTGCACCTCCAGAATGGCGCTCACCTCTCTCACCCACTTCCTGCCTGTTGCCTGCCCCAGCCAGCCCACAGGGGTGCCACCCCCTACCCTCTTCACCCAGATTCTGAAGGCCAAGTTGAAGGCCCCAGCCTGGCCACAGACGACTTCTTCCTGCCTTGCTGCCACTTCCTGGGGCTAAGACAACTTGGGAGTGAGCAACTGGCTGCCAGATACGAGCTGTTCCTAGCCTGGATGACACATGGCCCAGCTGGGAGGGGTCTTGCAGATCAGCAAGGCCACTACCTTGTTATATATGGGGGAAGTGAAGCTCAGAGAGGGAAAGAGACTTGCTCAGCACTGCACAGTGAGTTAGAGGGGGAAGCCAAGGCTCCAGGAATTCCCCTGGGGCTCCTGACTCCCAGCCCCTTCCTCTGCCCACATTTCCCCATTTTTTCACTTACCTTCAGCCTCTTCCAGATCCATGTCCCTTGTTCCCTGGAAAAAGTTGCAGAGACCAGGAACCTTCTCTGGCTGGAACTAGGAGAAAACAGGTCAAAGAAACAGGTCTGAGCCTCCTGTATCCAGGGAACCCCAGTGGGCAGGACCCGGAGTTTCACACTGACTCAGCTTTCCAAACTAAGAAGACATGCCTAGGCTTTTGTAGAATTCAGCGAAGTGCTTGCAACTTGATAGACTAACGTGGAGCTTTTAGAATTTGGTGGAAGTAGACAAAGTACTTAGAATTCAGCGAAGTTCTTTGAAAATGTGTCAGGTTTGGTAGAATTAGGAAATTCTGGTGGGCTCAAGGCTGAACAGGGTGCCCGATAGTTTACTATGGGCAGCCAGGGACCGCCCAACCTGGGCAGCTCCCAGCTCCATGCCAGCTGACAGCCTCCTGGGAAGCAGGCACCTTTCAAAGCTCCCTGCACCAAGGGACTGCATCATCCCCAAGGCAATTTAGAGGGAGAAGAGGAAATGCGCACAGCTTAGAAACTTTGGGGTGCTTCAGGGATGATGTCCCAAAGACCCAATTACACAGAGTCTACTTAGAAATCTTAATTGGTGTGGAAAAGTTGGAGAAGGTGGCTCAGGGCCAGGGATCCACCCTCACAGGTCAGTCCCCAGCCAGCGCAGGCCGAGAATGTTTACAGGATCAATAAATGAATGAATGGATGGATGCACAATTAAATCAATGCATAAGCAATTCTCGGTGAATACATTTAAAGAGAAGAATGAGTGAGTGAACAAATGATAGGCAGGGTTGCTTTCCAGGAGGGTTAGAGGTTTTGGCTCAACTCTCATAGTGATCTTAAGAAAATGCAAAATCTGGAAAGAGGGTAACAGGGGAGGGAACTGGAGGGAGAGACAAAGAGAATTACAGAAGAACAGAGCAGGGGCGTCCTCACAGGCCATCCTGACCAACCCTCACTGTATGGACAGGAAAACTGCCCTAGAGTGAAGCAGCTGGCTCAGGTTACCTCATGAGGCAGAGACATGGCCCTGGATTTGTCTGCACTTGAATCATTTGTCCCTCAGTCAATGCAAAGCAGGTCACCCCAGGTCAGTTAGTGATCGGGTGCCTCTCACCTCCACCCACCCCTCTTCCCAGCCCTCAAAACAGTCATCGTGGTGGTTTCTCCTTGAGGTTCCTTCTAGTGTTCTGACTCCACGCCTCTGCGGGCTTAAGGACATCTTTATCAAATAGGGTAATTTTTATTTTGAAACTGGGTATTGTCATTGCTGTTGGATTTTTAACCATTTTAAAATTAAAATAATTTTATTAGCTTTTTATTTATTTGTACATATAGAACATTCTCGTAAAAAATACAAAGAATGCAGAAGTATATAGTGTTAAAGTGACACTGTTTTCATGTCCCCTCCTCCCTACTCCCCAAAGGTGACCAGTGTTATTAGTTTTATGTATGTCTATCAGGTACTTTTCTGGTCTTTTATATCTGCATATCTACACATAGAAATAGATTTTGTGATCATGTGTAAGATTGGCTTTTTAGCAGGCTCTTTTGTTGCAGTCTTACTGAAGATAAGTGATATACAACTGCACACATTTAAATCATATAATTTGATAAATTTTAACATGTATACAGTCATGAAACCATCACCACAAACAAGATTGTGAGTTTATCTGTCATCAGCAAAGTTTCCTCACGCCCCTTGGTAATCCATTCCTCCCTCCCCCAAGCAGGCCATCACTGACCTGCTTTCTGTAAATATTCACTTGCATTTTCTAGCATTTTACATACATGGGATTATACAGAATGTACTCTTTTAAAATATGGCTTCCTTTAAAAATATATGGCTTCCTTTAAAAAAAATATGGCTTCCTTTACTCAGTGTAATTATTTTGAGGGTCATTCATGTTGTGTGTATCAATAGCTCTTTTCTAAAATAACATCTTTATTGAGCTATAATTCAAATGTCATACCGTTTCCCCATTTAAAGTGTACAATTCAATAGTTTTTATTATGTTTACAGAGTTGTGCAACCATCATCACAATCAGTTTTAGCACATTTTTAGCACTTCCAAGAGAAACTCTGTACCCGTTAACAGTGACTCTCCGTTTCCCCTCAAGCTTCCTCTGGCCCTAGACAACCACTAATCTACTTTCTCTATATATAATTCTATTCTGGTCATTTTATATAAATGGAATCATATGATATGTGTCCCTTCGTGACTGGTTTCTTTCACATAGCATATTTTTAAGGTTGACCTATATTGTAACATGTATCAGTACTGAATTTCTCTTAATTGCTAGATAAAATTCCACGGTATGTATGTCTTTTTCCATTTGGGCTGCTGTAACAGAATACCATAGACTGGGCAGCTTAATAAAGAACAGAAATTTATTTTTCATAATTTTAGAGGCTGGGAAGTTTAAAATCAAGGCTCAGGTAGATTTGGTGTCTGGTGAGAGCCCACTTCCTGGTTCTTGGACTACCGTGTTCTAGCTGTATCCTCACATGACAGAA